AACTTTCTTTACTGACGGATTGGTTTGATATTTAACACAACATCCCATGAGCGCCCGTGTCGAATGGTTTTTATATGTCTAAAAGTATCATGCCTGTAAAATTACCTTGAACACTTCCATCCTTTAATAAATTAAAATTAAACAAATGTTAGCTGAGTAACATCCATGGAATTTTGATTGATGCTCATAGAACAAATAATAATTATTTTCCTTCAGACAGCGGTTCCCAACCTTTTGTTGGTTGCGAACCCGTTCCAGAAACAAACATCTGATCACGAGCCCTCTTTTACTATGAAACATCATCATTATTTAAATTATTGTTTTACTTATTTGACAACGTATTGTTTACATTTTTACAGCGTTATAAAAATTGATGAAAGATGATTGTCAGTGTGGCAAGAGAAGTATAGAGCAGAGATTTGTATGCTTTACATGAAACATAGCATATTTTCAAATGTTTCAGAGCAGTCCGACACGACCCCACGAAAGGTGTTTGCAGTGGCGGATTAAGCTCCACCAAGGCCTGAGGCGGCAGTTGCTGGAGGGCCTATTTAGTTTTTAAAAAGGGCCTATTTAAAATGGCGTGGGCCTAATTAATTTCGGATCACGGCCTATGTTGATTCCCGGTGGGCCTAAACCCAACCCCCTAACATTCATTGTCTATGCGTTTTTAATCGTATCAGACAAGTCTAAAAATAATTTGGGCCTGAGGCTGCAGCCTCATCAGCCTCACTGATAATCCGCTACTGGGTGTTTGACGACCCCAGCTGGGATCGCGACCCAGTGGCCAGGAACGCAGGTCTTAAGACATGCCTATAGTTGCTTACTTGTAGTGAATTATTCTTCCGGTATAATGGCCTAACCCTGGCAAATTTACAGGACAATGTTGGGGTCAGCCATTATGACATATGTGATAGAACTGGTTAGGGTATTTTCAATACAGAGATCATTGCCACGGTAAATGCGTAAGGAAGATTTGAAGAAACAGAAAGTAACGCAAAAAAATGGAAAACACAAGTATATTTACAGATACACGGTCGATTTTCAGCTAACTGATAATTCCTTTGTTATATTTATGAGACTGTAAGAGGATATCTGACAATTAATAAAAATAATTGGGTGTCACTAGATAACAGGAAATGAGAAAAATAGAAAAGGTCCGCACATTGCCCTGTTTTTAATCATTCTCTACGTAGCAACAACAAGATAATGCACGGACTTTTTCTATTCTTCCCACCTTCTCTTATCTTGTCCTTTAAGACCAGATTTATACAAGGGAAATGTTAAAACACATGCCACGTCCTTGGGAAGAGAAAGCTAGGAGGATTGGGGATTTGCTTTGTAAGCGAACTCGGGTGTAAGCAAAACTTGATCAAGACTGATATTGTTGTTTGTTTTGTTGTTATACTGCCAAAGACCCCTTCACGCGATCGCATTATTGAAATAAAATAGAACCTTATTTCTCTATCCACTGTAGGCTACTATTTAAGTGACACAAACGGGTTTCCGTATATGAAAAAAAACCCCAAAAAAACAAATTTGCAAAGTTTTTATTATATTAGTTTACACAATGATTGTAGATATAGTAATATTTGGTATGCACATACGATATATAAACATCCAGTGACGGCTGATATATCAATAGATGTGCAGGATCTTCCTGGTCGTGGATACAGATATACATCTAGACGAATTTCTTTAATAAGAAACAGTTTGGAATATACAGAAGGTCAGTAACCATAGTAATATGCCAATTTATTCTATTGAGATTTAATTGGTAGTAAGACTTGACATTTAGGGCTATATTATGTCGTCACGTACGGTTGTAGATGTTTAGGTCAATATGCGCCATGTTAATATTACAGTGTTATGACATACCTTTCAGTCTGGGAAGTCCTTGTTGTATATCTCCACCGTTTGGTGGAAATCTCACAGAACTTTATGTAATAGAGGGCATGGCCCATTTTTCCAGGAACCTGAAGCACTGGGGCATGGTGGTTTTGGTGCCCGGGGGCGCGAACAGTTTGAATTTCCGCATCTGCCGTGTAACCTATATCTTCAACTTTCACTTTCGACAGGACATAAATCAAAATCGCCGACACAGTGCGTACAAAACGACACAGTTTTTGGGGTTCTGACGTTCTTACCCTTACAGTACCGCCTCTATTCTAATCTTAAATCGCCTCTCTGTTCAAACCGTAAAGTTGTTCTTTTCTACCCCCAAAGCGCCCCTGTTCTAACCTTAAAGTAGGGCTGTCCCTGGTCTACCCTTAAATTGCCCCTGTTCTACCATTTCTCTATTTTTCTGTTTCAGATGTTCCCATTATTATGTGGATAGTGTTACAAGGATATGCTTAGTACACGTAAAAACTGAAACATTATCTTCAGAATTTCCGCAATTCAAAATACATGTATTCATTGAATATTTGCTACAATAATCGTCAGCAATTAACTTTAAAGCACAGCAGTCATATATAATCTACTTAAAAAAGGGTCGAAAGAGGAACCAGCGCCGGTATGGACAGTCCGTCCAACTTTCTACGAGATACACCATCTCTCTCATTAACAGACCTTACAGAATCGGACACAGAGAGTGCCAACTCTCCATCATCTCAAACAGAACTTCTGTCATTATGCCACTCCCCGAGTAAATAATCTAGTACTGTTTTCAAAATTCAAATCTTTTAAAGTAGCTTATTGTCATTATATAACGACTTAATTTCATCCACTTATATTGATTTGGAGGGGGGGGGGGGCGAATGGCCGAATGGTTAGCCTGTGCGCGCTGTATCATAAAGCCTGTCATTGAGTCAACTGGCGTGGTTTCGAATCCCCGGTTGAACGTGGCAAGGAGTAGGGTCGCCTGTCCAACCTCGTGGGTTTTCTTCGGGTCCCCCGGTTTCCTCCCACTGCTTAAGACCCCTACGCGCAAGTGAATTATTGAAATAAAATTGAACCATATGTTAGTCCCGAAATGACCTAGTTTGTGTCGAGTGGACGTTATACACATAATCCCCCAGTTTTGATTAAATCGTATTAGAGAAAGGCCCATCAAAAGCAGATCATATATCAAAATATTGCAAATAATCCCCCGAAAAAAACCGACAGACTTTAATCATGTCTGGTGAGATAGGGGAGCCACGGTGGCTAAGTGGGGAAGACGCAGACACGCTAGCCTGGAGGTCGCAGGTTTGCTCCCCGTGTTGGCCGATTAAGCTCATCGGATTTCCTTGCCATGGTGGCTCCGTGTTCGGGTGGTACCAAGAACCGAGGTCCCGTGTACACATTGGCGTGCACGTAAAATATCCCTTAACAGTTGGAAGTAGGCCGTAGCGCCGCTGTCCGGACAAAATTTCTTTCATAACACACTGTATGGCGTATTCCCGTCTTCATTAGCCCCAGCAGAACAGTATAGGTCGTTAAACCCCATTTCATTTCATTTTCCCGAAGATGTATTTAATCCAGGCAACCATTGTAATTTTTCTTGATTTTATTTAAGATAATCAAGAACCAGAAGAAATTGGTGTTGTATTGATGGGTAAAACTGGAGCTGGCAAGAGTTATCTTGGTAATTACCTCCTACAGAAGGAAAGGTTTCAACCAAGTAGCTCTATAAGATCGTGTACATCTGAATGCCAGACCGGCGAGCGGTTACTGAACGGTCTCACTAAACTGAAAGTCATCGACACACCTGGTTTGTTTGATACTGATATCACAGTTTCAGAAAATATTAACAAAATATTGTCTCTGTTCGAGTGTTTACAGTGTGTGGACATTTTTCTTCTCGTGGTTAGAGTTGATATCAAACTTGGTAAAGACGAAATGGAGGCATTGCAGTGGTTAAAAGATCATTTTGGTGAAAATCTTAACGACTTTTCTGTTATCATCTTGAATAATCATGGATATAAACCTAAGAATAAAGAAACCTTAATAGGCGAAGCGCCTGAAATCCTGAGAACAATCATTGCTGATTGTGATAATAGATGTGTTCTCCTGCAGTATAATGAAATCAGTGTGGTAGATGATAATAAAGATATTGACGCCATCTTAGAAATAATCAACACAACAGTTAGGAAGAACAATGGACGTCGGTATACATACAATATGCACGGAGATGCAAAAATGAAATACGACGAGAAAGTGAAACGTTTAGAAGAACAAAGTAAGAAAAGGGAAAAGGAGCTGGAAGAACAATTGGAAAATATGCAAAAAGAAAACGACGAACTTCAGAAATACAAGCAGTTAGCAAAAGAAAAAGAACATTTTAGCTCTAAAGTCAACTTATTACTAAGCCTTATTCCATCTGAAAAACAAGAAGAAGCAAAACACATCATTAAAGATAAAGGAGACGTAACAGGACAATTTAACGAAAAGGGTAAGGAAGCAAGCTTTAAAAAAAAACAAATAATAAGGTTATTGTCAATAACAAGAAAAATATGTATAGTGTTTTATCGAAGTCTCTGCGGTCAACTTTTGTGTGCCCTGTAAAGGCTACTTTGGGGTGACAATACCATTAACAAGAGACTATATAAGGAGTTTGTTTATTTAAAAAAATGTATTTGGTGTTCCAGGTGAAAAGCAGACAACACAGAATATATCTGTACTGGGGATGACTGGCAAAGTCAGGGGCAAAATATCTGTTGAAGGTGAGGCGACGATCAGATACAATTGGACATTTCTAATAGACAATATACACGTCCACATCCAAACACTGATGGAGCATTTGTTCGAGAAAAAACTTTTTGAATTTGAAGACATTGAGAAAATAAATAAAAAAATTAAAGATGAGAACAGTAGAGCAGGTGCTGCCATGTTGCTGGAAACTGTGATGCAATCCGGCTCAGGTGCTTATCCGCTATTCACAAAATGCTTGAAAGATGCTGGTTTTAAAACAGTTGTTGACAAGTTACAAGGTATAGTAAACACTTTAGTTATTATATATCAGTCAAATGTATTTACTATTTTATTAATAACCAATTATCTCACACCAATTTAATTATTTTCATTTCCAAGTGAAGCGAAGTACCGCCTCTGTGAGTGACAGCTCATCAATACAGCATTCACCTGAACCACCTAACAGCCCATCAACCCCACAGAACTCAGAATCAAACGAAGAACCATCAATACAGACACCACTTCAACAATCTGATATGACACAGTACACAATTCACCAGTCGTTTGATCAAAACTTCCAAAATCGTCAACCAATACCTCTGTCTTCATCTACTCGTCATCCGATTATTCCATCTGTTCCGATAAGCCAATTGCCACGCCAACCCACTGTCCATAGTCCAGAGTCTGATAAATCAATGGGTTATCCAAACAAAGACAATGTGATTCATTCACCAACTAGACATGATGTATTATGGAAGGGAACTCAATCAGAAACATTAAATCCGTTCCGCAATCAATCATTTAAGAATCGTCTAGGAAAAAATTCTTCTGGGATATCCCGAGAGAGCCGAATCGGTATAGTATCACGAAAGGCATATCAACCAGAGAAACAAACATATGACCACTCTTTAACATACCGTATCCCAGAACAACCCAATAACACTCCATCACCGCATGCTTCACCTTTCCAACAGAGACCAGCAGTAACACCTGTAACACCAAAACAACCCAGTAACACACCAACACCACATACCTCGCTTTACAAACGAAGACCAGATACAGATTTGTCAGAAGGGTATTCTGGACATAAAATAATTCGCGCTACATCGATTGATCCTCTACATGGTAAGTTATTTAAATTAATTTTACGGGATTATGCAACAGAATTACTAGAACTATATATTTACACTCCGGGTGAAAAAGAAAACATTTATCACACCCGTTCACCACAGAACGTCTTCAGTTGAAACAAAAACAAAATTAATGGAACTATATATTTATACCCCAGGTGCAATGCATATGATAACACTTTTCACACCCACCCTCACCCCTCCACAAAACGTTATCAATTGAAACAAAAACTTGCTTAATTATATTTATAACAATTTTTTTATAGAACTGTTTGTGTCATCGCTGCCACAGACCTTAAGGCATTCACATGATTCGTCTCCTACCCCCACGGAGTAAAATTTGAATCTGTTTTCTTAAATGATGGTTTTGTAATGTTTTTATTTTTATTTGTTTTTAGGAAGGAGTGTCACAGAACCGGGTGAATTTGGAAATCATTGTAAGGTAAAGTTCCATGCTAAGATATATTTTTTTTTATTATAAGTTAATTTAGTTTGATATTTATTAATATGATGTGATGCTATGTAATTATTATCTCAAAAGATGAAATGAAACGGTTGGGCGTTCTAAGGTGTGATATGAGGAATATTAGCCCGGACTGCCGAGAGTTCTTTCACGTGCACGCCAACGAGTACACCGGTGGGGCTAGGCTTATTTCCCATCCTTACGACTAGATGCTTTATCATTGTCAGGCCCCTCGACCTGCACCACTGACAAAATAGCGTGGGCGGGGAACTTTAATGTAGTATGAAAGCGGGAATTAAGTGTGTGTGGGTGTGAAAAGGGGGTGGGGGTCTTGTTTTTTTTCATGATCTATTAGAGTTACCCATCTTTACCCCTTGGTTAAACGTTTTGCGCCATTTTGAATTTTTACCTCCCCCTCACGTACGAAGCACTAAGTCATAAACAATGCGTGAATATTGACCTTTAAGTGTAATGTATAATATGGCCTCATGTTAATTCAATGAAAACAATAACTATAGCGGAGACATCTGTAATAACTTATTGTTATTGCCACCGCTTGACGCCTGACGATATTCATGGTCATCTCATATAATAATACAGTAGTTAATGATATATAATGATTCAAATATACACAATAAAATACTTGTTTTTCTTGTTTTAACTTTGTCGTCTTGGAAACCAACTGCAACGTCAAAGAAGATGATTAATCTGAGTAGCAATCTAAAATCTATTTATCTGTTGTGAAGGGAGATAACTGCGTAACCATTTCCATTTTTGCAAATTATCGAATATCGGTTGCAGTAATTATACTATACTAGTGTTCTGGTAGTATTGGGTTATTATTTGCTTGTTTGGGTGATATAGGGAGGCAAATGGAACAGCCAGAAATCGGTAATCGGGTCTGAAGCATATTTCCCGCGATATTACTTATTATGTTGGAGAACATTCAAGTAATATGCCTATTTTGCATCTTCCTGTGGTAGTATTGGGTAGTATTTGGTGATATTGGGTAGTATTGGGTACATCGTCCCGCCGTTATGCACCAATAATTCAATCCCCGTGGCATGGGTGAGTCGCAACGTACCTACAACAAAAACACGAATTCTTTTATTTTCAAGAAGAAAGACATGCCCTTGACAAGCGATATTTGCGGCGTATTTTAACGTGAGAAGACCATTCATAAAATTACACCATTCATAATATATGAATGACACGATTGATTCTTGACTGATATAATCATTTGAATTTTTGTTTCAATTTTCCAAAGAATACAACGATTTCAAATTATTATTTGAGTGGAAGATGATGTTGATCTATTTCTATTAAAATATTTACACTGAAAGAAACTGAACTGGAAGATCAGCTTAATGATATGGGTTTGCAGAAAGACTTGGGGCAGGATCTCTAAGTGAAACAAAATCATTTATAATCATTTCACCTTTCTAAAGTACCAATTACATGAGACAATGATTAAAGCGAGGGTAATTTCAAATATTTACTTGCTGTGAATTAAATTTAATTTCCAAACGAATAGAAATTCATGTTTTCTTTTCCTTATTGTTTCAGACGGTGGCCGTCTCCTCGGCACAAGATTTGAATGGTACGTAGTTACTAATTATTTCCAACTAAGGGAAAATGTAAAATATACGTACCATTGTTCCTGTGGTAGATTATTGATAACTAGTGATAATGTTTATGAAATGCAAAGAGCCATTCTTAACCAGCATTGGTGTATATTAACCGTTTTTATTTTATTCAGTGGTGTTAGTCCAGGGCAGATGGTCAAAAATCAGTTTCACTATCGTAGCATTTAAAATCGTAGCATTTGTAGAACTTGTCGTGAAAAACATATAGCTGATTCACAGAGGAGTAAATATGAGCGATCTAATAGAACACATTATATGCGTTACATTATTCACTCTAAGCCCTTGAGATTATCTACCGTTGAAATTTTGATTTTGTTTTCTTAATTAAATGCAAAATACTCCACCGGAGTACATTTGAGGCTGGATTAAGCGTTTGGAAATTTGATATTTTCCGAAATATGAAAATAAAGATTAACGGTTTTTAAGAATAACATGATATTAATTAGATCATAAAGTTAATAAGAGTACGAGAATATGAAATTAATGAATGATGTCAATGAGACAATAAATTTATTAAGAGTATGAAATTAATGAATGATATCATTGATGCTATAGCGTTAATGGCAGTATGAAATTAATGAATGATATTAATGAGCCATAAAATTAATGAAAGTATGAAATTGATGAATGATATTAATGAGGGCATAACAATAGTGAATGATAATAATGAGAGGATGAAATTAATTATTGATTTTAATTGAATCATAAAATTAATGATTTTTTTTTATATTAATGTTGGTCTAGCTACTCGGTAAATCAGAATTATGTTATTGTATGGCGACCTGTAGATTATGTCCAAATTACGATATAATCAGAATATGTTTTTCATTTGACTGCACCCAATGATCTTCTACTATCAAGAGATAATCATATCGTAATTATGAAATAATCAGAATTTTTTTTCATTTCATTCATCCTAATGGTCTTCCTTATAACATTACACCCATTGAAGGGCGAGTTTTCTGGAAGATAACCATTTTGCAAAACAACAAAACAAAAACTAAATTAGTCTTAGAAATTAAATGTTCCGTCGAAATTCCCAATATTTCATCCATACCTTTGGTTTAAATCACACAATTATTAGTATCCTTATTAGTTTGCAGTTGGGGTAACAAACTAAGTCACCAAATGTCTGTGCTAATCACCAAAATTTTAACTCAAGTTGCGACCTGATAATTTCGTTTAACTTGTTCAAAGAATATATGGATTCTAAAAATCAAGTCGAATAAACGACGATGTCGATCTATTTCAGGTAATAAATCACTAATAGAAACTGCTGAAATGGAACATCAATCTGTGGATCAGCCAAATAGATGGGGGACAGAAGATCCACATACAACAAAACAGGTGAATAAAACACAAGACAATGTTTAATACGAGGGTTGACGAAAGACGTAACTTCAAATATTTACTTGCAGTGAATTAAATAAATATCTTTGGATTTTCCAACAAAAAGAAATACATGTTTTCTTCGCTCTATTGTTTCAGACGATGGCCAGCTCCACAACACAAGATTTGAAGGGTACGTATTTACTAATTATTTCTGTAACATCAATTAGTTGACTTCTGTAACATCAATTTAAATTTGTAGCATTTATAATAGTTGTGGAATAAAGTATTATTCCGTTTGAACGTAATAATCACAATATTACCCACTGTCAAGAATATGAATTAGCACTGTGAATGTATTCGGGGTTCGTCAAAATGGGAGCGCGTTATTTTCTTTTATATCCCTGACAATAAACTATCGATGAATTGACTGGGTGAATATGCCCCAAAATGCAAGGAATTGTTAAAATATGGGACTAATTAGAAATAAAATGGTGTTTAATGTCCTACTCGGCTAATGAAGACGGGCATACGCCATACAGTGTGCTATAAGGGAAAATCGTCCCCTGGCAGAGGCACTATGGTCTACTGTTATATCGAATTCTAACTGCCCAGGGATCTTTTACGTGCACGCCAGTGTATACACGGGTCCTCGGCTTTTCGTCCCATCCGAACTGCAGGTCGTGGAACACCGAAAATCGACAGGGTTCATACGCTTATGAACCTAATGGTTTATACCAAACTTGACAAATAATTTGTTAAAATCTATTGCTTCTTTCGAGTTCACAAGGTTTTCGTTATTTGGATCATATGGATAGAAATGTTACGTAAACGATAGAGTTCGTGTCCATAAGGTTTTCAGAATAGAGGGAGGGGTAACCCTGGAAAGGAAGGTTGTGGAACGCAAAAAGTCGATACAGTTCATCCCTTTATGTCACTAATGCTACACACTAAGGTTTTCGGCAAAGATCGCATATCGCTAAAAATCCATTAATTAATTATTTCGTTTAAACAAATTAATTATTTCGTTTAAAAAAAAATTATTATTTCGTTTAAACGAATTAATTATTTCGTTTAAACGAATTAATTATTTCGTTTAAACGTATTAATATTTCGTTTTTAGTTCGTTATAACGAAATAATACTTAGTTTAAACGAAATAATTATATAAGAGTGACATTGTGCATGAATTTTCTAAGAGTGGAATCGTGCACTTAAGAGGGTTCGTAGATATCAGTACTTTCGTTTAGAATTTGTCAATTTCTTTGTTGATATATTCTTATTTTTGAGAATGAATCGCCTGTTACAAACACTCTAATGCTACTTCCACCACATTAAAAGCATTCCTTTGCCCATTCTGTTTTCCATTCCGTTCCGCATTCCCTCCCACGTTATAGCAACACCAGCACCCGTACTCGTGATACCGGAATGTGTAATTAAGGCTTTCAAAAAATTGTTTACAAATTTTATATAAAACGGTCTAGATAAATTAGAATACAGTTTGGGTTTTTGTTGTACGTTATCCAAATTAATCTTAGAAACTAGATATTCCGCCGATAAGGCTAGGTCTGAATATCAAATAGACATTTTTTAATTTACAGAAATAAGAATTGTATTGGTCGGTAAAACTGGAGTAGGTAAAAGTGCACTTGGAAACAGTCTGCTAAGATATGAGGCGTTTAAGTCTTCCTTATCTTGTAGCTCTGTAACATCCATTTGTAAGTGTGGCACTAGAACATTAGAAGATGGATCCAAGCTTCTGATAGCTGATACACCAGGCTTATTTGACACAAGGAAGTCTAATACGGGAACTGTAAAAGGCCTAGTTCACTGTATCTTACTGACATCTCCAGGACCACACGTATATGTCTTAGTGATGCGCATTTGTAGATTTACAAAGGAAGAACACGAAACGATTACTACATTTAAAGATATTTTTGGCGAACGTGTGATGAATTTTGTAGTTATTGTGTTTACATGTAAAGATGTGTTGATCGGTGAAGATTATACGTTAGACGAGTATATAGAAAACTGTCCAGAAAACCTCAAGTCGATTATATCCAAATGTCATGGTCGTTGCGTTGCCATTAATAATAAAGCCCATCCTGTAAATCTGGAAAAGGATGTTGAGGATATACTGAAAGTAGTAAGAGAAAAAATCCAATCCAATAGCGGTAAACACTATACTGGGCACATGTATAAAGCCGCTGAAGAAGTTTTTAAAGAAAAGTTACAGAAGAGAGAAAGGGAACTCGATGAGAAAGAGAGGAAACTTGAAAAGTTGATTAAAGAACTACCACAGCAGCTCGAGATAGAAAGGGAAAATCAACGTTTGAAGGAAGAGAAATGGGAATAGAAAGAAAAGCCAGAAAAAGAAGAGTATAAAAAGAAACAGAAAATTCGAAAACTAGAGACGGGGAATGACACACAGGAGAGACATTGGTAGACCTGATGGCGAAATGGGGGGGGGGCAGCGACAAGAGGATGAATAAAGGAGGAAAGAACTGGAAAAACAAGAAAGGAAATGGAGGAACAGAGGATTAAACTAGCTGCACGGCAACAAATCAGACAAGAGGTGGAAACGTCCGATTCTATTGTTGATAAGATTGAGACAGTTTTGATAAAGGGCGGTTGGGGTATTTTTTAAAAGCATTTTTTTAAAATGGTTAATCATGCCGATATACTGTTTGATTTACATTTTTATTATATTACCCCATTTAGGGTCTCGTTTGTATTAGATTTAATTATATTTCCCTTTATTAACACCAATTTCTATTTAAGTAGTTCAAATAGCTAACATATAGATAGTTGTGCTTTTATATATTTTTACACATTGTGGCAGTATTGTGTTTAATGGTATGTATAACTTTATAGTTTATTATTTACATGAGTATCCAATGGTAATGTTAATAATAGTGTAATGCTGGAGGTTACAATTTATTTTAGTCCCCCACTCATTAAAGACTATCAAAATGTGTTTGTACAAATGTATGTTCGTCCGCCCGTCACAAGGTTTGGGATACAATACCTGTTCGTCAGATTGAGCTAGAATGTTCCACTAAGGTTAAGCAGAGATAGGCATTTTGATTGGTTGAGACTTTGGAAAGGGAAAACTTTGATTCTAACTGGGTGAAGGTATACTTTCATAATATCAATTTCTTGACTAAGTTCGCTGATGATAGTTTAAGTAGCAATACACGATTTGATTGGTTAAGGCTGTGAAACACAACTTATTCACCATTAGGTTAATGTCTTGACTGAATTTATTGATCAACATTTTCCGCTAAGGCTAATCCGAACCAAGTAATTTCACCGATCGATACTTTGGGACACGATAACTTTGATTCTAATTGAAGGAGGGTGATTAAACATGGTGACGTTTCACATCAAAAACTTCGACCAGCAATATATATTTCGCTTTCGACTAATCTGTAAGTCTAGATTGGTTAAGCAGAATTAAACTGCTATCTGTATTAATAAATAAAGAACTCCATGGAAAAATGTATGCTACATTAACTTCTATGTATAAATCTGTTACCGCCTGTGTAAAACTTGATTCTTATGTTACACGATCGTTTAATTGTGATTCCGGTATAATGCAGGGATGTATTTTAAGCCTATTGTTATTTTGTTTATATATTAACAACCTTAATAAAATGCTAAATTCTTCAAACTGCAGGGGTATATTTACCATTCCAGAAGCACCAGAAATCGCTTCGTTATTATATGCTGACGACGTGTCATTGTTCTCTGATTCAGTCGGGGATTTACAATATGAAATTAATTTACTAGAGAAATTTTGTTCGAAGTTTAATCTTAAAATAAATCCAGATAAAACCAAAATAATTGTTTTTAGAAACGGTGGTGTAATAAAGCAAAATGAGAAATGGTTCTTAAATAATCAACAAAAAGAAACTGTAACTTATTATAATTATCTGGGCCTAATATTTTCCTCCAGATTGAACTGGAATAAAAATATTACTAACCTATCAATTAAAGCGGAGAGGGTCTTGATACCTATATGAAGTTTAATTAGAAAGACGGAATATTTAGATATCAACCTTTGTTTTAAGATTTTTGATCATGTTATAAAACAACCTGTCCTCATCTATGTAACTGAGTTGTGGGGTTTTCAATATCGACACGAAATTGAAAAAGTACATAACAACTTTTGCATGTTCATTTTAGGAATTCTTAAGAGTTTCTCAAATGCTGGAAAACTTGGGGAATGTGGAAGACACAGTTTAAGCATACATTATACTTTGTGTTGTATTAAATACTGGTGTAACCTGTTGCATATTATGTCCATAGATCGATATCCCAAACAAATATTTATTATGTTAAAACAATTAGACAAAGTCGGCAGGGTTAGTTGGGCGACAAAGGTCAGAATTATGTTATATTCCTTAGGATTTGGTTATGTTTTTGAAACTGAAATGATCGGCAATTTTAACATGGTTTTAATTGCATTTAAGTTACGATTATCAGATATAAACTAACAAGAAGGTCAGCTAAATTATCAGAAAATGAAAGTTTAAACAATTATTGCGAATTCAAAATAAATCTAGTTCAGGAATTTTATTTATTGTCGAACATTCCATTCACACACAGAAATTACAAAATATTTCTAAATATTACAAAAATTTAGGCCAAATCTATTACCAACATATTTGAATTTGCATAGACGAAATCAAACTACTTTTCCATTATGACCATTATGCCATCAATGTAATGAAGATTTATTTCATTTTATGTTTGAATGCATAGAAACGAAGAACATCAGAGATGTATGTTTTGAACGTGTACATTTGGTAAATATCAGTCGTTGTAACTTCCTAAACATGTCAAGTTCTCACGATCCATGTATATTATTATCGATCTCCAATTATATAGAAAGGGTCACCAAGTATCATATATAAATTGCTGTAAATAATTATGCCCGTGCCAGTTGATTGTTTGTAAATATAGCCTACTCATTTGCATATTTGCTACAGATGTTTTGAAATTTAATAACATAAACACACGTTTTATAAGTTTTATAAATTTACCATCAGACTTGCTTAAAGTTACAATTTCATATTTTCTAAGAATATCAAAACATAATTATTTTTTATGTCTTTTGCTCAATAGGTTGTCAACTCACTATTATACGATCATAGGTTATCTTTCTCACACTTAAAAATCTTCACACCGAAAATAATAACACAATTACCTCGCTTGTTTTCCTATTCCCCACCATGGCATAGCTATCTTCAAAGGTCTGAATTTGAAGTTGAAAATGATATTTTTGCCAATTTCTCAACTAGCAATAGTGAATTATAGGATTAATAGGATTATTCTTTAACAAGGTAGGACTGTTTATAGATACCATCTATTTTAGGGCTTTATTTTAATACATTTTAAAAATTTAACTTAAATATATGAAATTGTAACTTTAAATTCAAACCTGTTAGAATTATAACCTTTGTTACAAATCTTTTGGCAAATATAAGCTGAACTATTAAGCAAATGTTCTTTGTTACCTGATTGTTAGCAATAAACCTGACTGTAAAAAAAATACGCCCCGACAGAGATTACAATATTAAGATCATGGCACATACTGGTCCTAAACCTTCTGGATTATTGCCCATGATTATAACAAAATCTCCCAAATACCTTGCATAACCTCTAGAGGTCAAAATGGTTTATCCTAGTTTGATTTACATTATCATATAGCAGTTCAAATTTTGTGAAAATAGGAATTCTCATTAGACTTACCTCTGCCTCGCACGTAAATAGTGAAAAAAACATGTACCAGGGTTGTGGACCCCCAGAATTCACAATTGGTACCAGACCTGGGATCTGTTCCCTTTTAGAGCTCATCGTTATAACACTTAATTGTTAAATGTCAAAAGATATTGGACGAGTTTGATTTTGGTGCAATTCAGACAGCTACTTCTTGGGTGATAGCAAATGCCATTTCAGCACTATTTAAAATATATGCGAAGCAAGTGGACAAACGAAGCTTGAGGTATAAGTTAAGGATCGTCACGCATGTGGATCCTCTTGATACGACAATGTTTTGGCGAATTTTGGTGAAACTTAAAAAAATATGTTAAAAATTCAACAGATCTCGGATGGGTATGCATCGGTTATGGCCCCTGCATTTTAATCAAAATGTGTTATAAAGATTGTGTGCTACCCGGTGGAATGAATTGAGAACATGACATGATTTTGATCTTTGTTGGTCCCTCCATCCGTCATGGATGAACCCTATCTATCTATTTTCAGCGTTCCGCGACACTCCATTCCGGAGGTATATGAATAGCTTCGGCCACTCTTAACAAACCCAGACGGTCTAGAATGAAGTTTTTCTTTGGATTGAGGCACGATGTCGCAGTTAGGATAATTGTTATCCATACCTTAGTAAAATGCACAGTGACGAATACTATCTACGCCTAACACCTTTCACTCTTAAGTTGACATTTTACTGTGTTCTTTAACAATTAAAGACCCTGATCAGTTAGTTCCCGTCTCTAATAGTCAAGTTTTCTATATTGCCAACAGTCACATCAAATCTTGCAAGGTGGGGACTTCTAAAAAGATTCAGTGGTATCTGAGGGGGGGGGGGGGGAGGCCGAATTGAGTCGAATGGCGTGGTTTCGAATTTTGATTTTATACGTGGTTATTATACGTTCTACCATCACATATTCTTAACCAGGCCGGGGGGGGGGGGTCTAATGCGCGTGCGCGTCATTGAGTCAAGTGCCGTTGTTTCGAATCCCCACTTGAATATGTCAAGGAGTTCGGTCGCCTGTCCAGCCTCGTGGGTTTTCTCCGGGTCCTCTGGTCCCCCCCCCCACTACTATAGACGCCTACACGCAAGCGAATTATTGAAATAAAATTGAACCATATGTTAGTCCCTAAATGACTTAGTTTATGTCGAGTGGACGTTAAACCTACACGCAAGCGAATTATTGAAATAAAATTGAACCATATGTTAGTCCCTAAATGACCTAGTTTATGTCGAGTGGACGTTAAACCCCATTTCTCTCTTTCTCTCTCTCTGATATCTGAGCACCAGTGTCAATCCGTACCGAGCCTTCTCCCACTCGACTAGACAATCCTTTGGCATGGTAGAAACTGACAAAGCTTCCTATGCTCCTCTGTCATGTCAAGGGAATTTTCCAATAAAAATATAAACAGGGATAGAATTCATGTGACCTATGACGTGTAGTGTCTTTGTTCTAATCTTAAAGCGCCCCTGCTATACACGTAACATACATCAGAGCTAATAAGCAAAAATGGAATAGGACCTGAAACTGAAACGTTTAGAAGAACAAAGTAAGAAAAGAGAAAAAGTACTAGAAGAACAATTGGAAAATATGCGAAAAGAAAACAAGCAGTTAGAAAAAGAAAAAGCAGATTTAAACTCTAAAATCAACTTATTACTAAGCCTTATTCCATCCGAAAAACAAGAAGAAGCAAGACATATCATTAAAGATAATGGCGGCGGAACAGGACAATTTAACGAGAAGGGGGAGGAAGCAAGCTTTAAAAATAAATGAACAAATACTAAGGTTATTGTCAAGTGTAGGTACCTTGCATTATTCTAAGATCTGGTGGTCCTTGATCTTAAAGCATTCATATGAGTCGTTCTCTCATTACAATATTCGGCACTATTCGATATATATTTGTTAAAATTTTGGCTTTTTCTTAATTGAATCGCTGCAATCCGTTTATTTCGTACCTTTATCGTAACCCTATATCTGGACATTCACCCGATTACTCACGAATTATCGTAACACCTGTGTACACTACTCGTTACTGCTACCGATTCTTTACGATTTTTTGGGTTTTTTTCTTATTTTCATTAATTTCGAGTTGGCACTATTCGCGCGATTCGTGGTATTCGTAGCCAGGCATAATATAAAGTTACCTTGAGATAGAATTATTTTTGTTGTTGATGACTTCCATATTGACAAATAACTCAATTTAATACGAAAATACCACATAAAAAGATAGACATACTACGTCTACAAATCTGTAGACACGTGACCAGTGAAATGCAACACCAAATCTAGTTGTCCATATTCCCATAGATGACAATAATCTTTTCCTTGGCACTTTGCTTATTCTAATGACATCAGATTCTTACAAAGAGTTTATGGGAAATGATATTTAAAATTTCAAATGAACTGCAATGATTGAATAATGAATTAGATCAATTTGAAACTGATGCCAAGATTTCTGTTATTTTCTGATTGGCATCTGTAGCAGACAATACACAGAGATCGTAATCTCTGACCCAAACATTCTATAAAGTCTTCGTAACATCTCCTCCCCGTTATAAAAATCCGCCTATGACCAATTTTAAGACACGAAGTGAAAGTATGCATCCACTCCGCTCATTCACTTTATATTCCTGGCACAACTGACAAATTTTAAAAAAAACAAAACATAAAAAGTTCACGCAAACCAGCCCCCTTCCCAAACACAACATAAAGAATGAAAAATCAAATAACCGGATTGGCCGCCCCCATCGAATAACAAGAATATCGGCTATGCGGTAAAAGTGTGTATTGTTGATGTTTATTACAGATCACAGATGAATCGCAAATAACAACTTCAACATCAACATTAAATTCTACGATAAACAAACTTGATGTCGAAGGTAAATATACCTATATATATATAGTTAATTAAAGCTGCTTTTTGGTAATACATTTGTATATAATTGAAATTAAAAATGGCAAAATAAAACTACATTTTTATGCTAACGTATTCGCCGCGATATCGGCTCTTCAGGCATTTATTAAACAATAATTCAATTAACAATAGTCTTAATTGCCAGTTTTTTGTTATGAATAACATTGATCATGAAAGTCGACAACCCGAAAACCCGACACCACGACATTTTTACCCGACATCACGACATTTTTAGCGTCGTAATGTCGGGTAAAAATGTCGTGATGTCGGGTAGAAATGTCGTGATGTCGGGTTGTCGTGTTGTCGGGTAGAAATGTTTTTTTTTTCTTTATATAGTCTTAATAACTAAAACAATCACCTCTTGGATATGGTGGCTGATTGGTATCATGTCGTAATGTGATGTCGCCTTTCATAACCCGACAACCCGACATCACATTACGACATGATACCAATCAGCCACCATATCCAAGAGGTGATTGTTTTAGTTATTAAGACTATATAAAGGAAAAAAAACAGTAAATATTCCCCCGCCACATACTTCAAGATGCTCACTGAGTGGGATCATCCTGTATTTTGGTTGAAGTATGTGTTGTCATTTGGGTCTTTCCTATATACCTTCCCCTAAGGTAAATTACATAGTTCGATTGCCAATTTATTGCCTGTTTGGCATAAAATGTATTATAACCTCCAACATCCAAACTTCTTTAAAACAATGTACGAGAGCAGGTCACTCCTGACATCAAACAACAACCTCAGAACGAAATTTGATAATGTTCAATTCATTAAATCACAGAGACAGCCACCTAATCTGAAACGCCTCCTAACCAAAGCCAAATTCAATTCATCTATCACAAGGACAGGTTTTTATGTACCGTATCTAAATGTCCGGATCTTCGATGTAATTGTTGCGACCCTATTACACCAAATAACAAATATAATTTTCATAAGTTTACGTTTAGTGTCAATGACAATATGAATTGTGACAAAAAAAATCTCATATGTCTTGATTTGCAATGGGTGTCTAAATAAATAATGACTATACAGAGATTGTAAGTAGACGTTAACAACTACGATCAAACTATGGGCCAGGAACTGACCGAGTTGTTAGATAAAATTCAAAAAATCTAATTTCCTGAATCTATGACGAATTGTGCAAAGAAAAAGCATGCCAATTTTCATGTTGATCGGACTTGAATTGACGGAGCCTTAGGCTTTTTCGGAGAGCGTCGCCCCAAAAACAAGAACAACAACAAGAAGATGAGTAGCGCTTAGCGACCAGTTCCTGGTCCCCGAAAAGCTTGCTTTAAAACACTATTTGTTATCTATTACAGGAAAGGATTTCCCTCTTCATCATGCTGCTATTTATTGCAAAGATAAAGACAAGTTTAAGACAATACTGGACGAAAATCGAGATGATGTACGTAAAGTTGATAAGAATGGTAAAACACCACTTGAACTAGCTTACTACTCAGAATTTATACCAATTGATAAAATAAAAATGATTGTATCTAAGGGGTTTAAAGACGCTAAAGCCCTTTTTGAAATATACAAATCAGCTCCCAGTAACCTACTTGAGATAATTTTTGATAAAAATATACATGATCGAATGAATGAAGCGGACAGTGAAGCGATAAATACGTTGCGTGGCCTGCTTATAGCCGGGGGGGATATTACTTGCAAAACCAAACATAAGAAAACCTTATTACACATAGCGTGTTTATACAGCAGTTTAAATAGTGTAAAATATTTATTAGACAAAGGCTGTAATATTTCTGTAGACGAGACAGAGGAGCCCCTTTTATTCATTTGTTGTAGATCATCTCTTCAGCCGGTCCCTAAAATGCGACATCTGAAATTGAGAGGGACTGATTTGCTTACCAGGCATGGACATAATAAAACCTTGTTACACGAAGCATGTGAACATGGCACTTCACATTGTGTGAAATACTTGCTTGATGAAAAAGTAAATGCTTACGGGATGCCTGGTGGCTGGGAACACTCACTATTATACTCCTCTTTCGTGACGGAAATAGAATCACTTGCTAAAATTAAGTTGTTGATAGATTCTGATTTTAATGAACGGTATCCATTTAGTTATTTATTGAATAAAGCGTGCATGTATAGTGATATTGGTGTGCTTGAATATCTTTTTGATTTCGCTAGGGATCGGAATTTACAGCTTTGTTTTCAAGGTGAGGCAGGAAAAACGCCAATATATTCTTGCTGTGTTTCCAACAAACAGCCTGTTCCTAAAATGAAATTATTAGTATCTAAAGGTTCGCGCTTAGATTTCACATATGACGATGGTAAAACGCCCTTACACGTAGCTTGTAAACACGGCGAGTACGAATGTATAGAATATCTATTAGAGAATGGACTTGATGTCAATTGTAAAGATAAATTAGGTCATAAACCATTGTTTTATTGTCAATCCCGAGATGAACCGAATAAAATGATGGGACTGTTGACGCGACATGGCGCTGATTTTGATCTCGACGAAGAAGTGACTGTCACTGAAGCTGACGCTAAAATCGATCATGACGATCTCACGTGAAACAAACGTCAAGTAGTAGACTTTCGCCTTTATGTAATGCTTTTCAGCATACGACGGTCGTCGGGACTGGTCTCATATTTTTTACGATTGCTTCTTTGTATTCAGTATAATATTAGTTGTTCTCAGTTTTATATAAATAAGGATGTATGCCCTAACTTAATTAATACACTTGATTCTTTCGCACGCTCATAATGATTTGATTCTTATTATTTGACTATTATATAAAGCTATTTATTGAGGTTTTTCCTTCAATGTGCCCATGTTTAGATTTCTTGTAGCATATAGCAGATCATGATTCATAAACAGGAGTCTTGTGGAATTTTCACAGTAATTTTGTCAGTAGATTCTGGGCTATATTTTCTTACATGTAGCTTACTAGAAATTTTAAATGGGCTTTCGATTTGACCATTTTTAAATTTTTTCTGCGGCAAGGGGAGAGAATCATAGTATATATTTTATAACACGTATTTATATTTATGTATTAAAACTAAAACTATATTACTATAATAAAGTATATCGGTCTTTTCATTTGAGTTGTGTGTATTTTCTAACCGCTCTCTACTAAAGTTGGTGGTCTGCATCCATATAAGAGCTACTGTATACAGGGTAACCTCCCTATAATTATTGAAGATTTCTTCAGGTGAACCATAGGCGTGTTTATACCCGACCGTATTCCCCTCATTCAAGATGGCAGCTAGGAGAAAGTAAACAACCCGTCACGTGATGGGGGAGCGGGGTACAAATCCAGTTCAGCCAAAACATTGTCTAGAAAATTTGGTGGCGCCGGAACTATATTTGAGTGGGTTTGAAATTGCTGTGTCCAGTGAGGCTCTATGGGGTTACGTCGTGGCTAAAAAACCCAGATGTGACACTACCCTGGTCACGTATCTCCAGAAAACGGACGGTGACACTTTGGTGACACTTATCTAATCAGGACTTCTAGATGTGTATCTTTTTACTTAATGATCAATTAACTCTGGAACACTGTGTTATTATAACTATGTTTATATAACTTCATAACATCCATAATACAAAGGTTGTATACAGGAAAATACACACACAGCTATAACATTAAATATAAGCTAATGTTTACAATGACCCCCCCCCCCCACCGCAGGCATGTATTTAGTATATGTTTTTATGTAAAATTCCAGTTACTGTGTTATGTAAAAGTGACTATATGGTTACCCCAGAAATTCGCAAAATGAAGATAGAGGCCAAGTTTTTCTAAAAAATGTTCACCTCCCCATTCACCCCACCCCCGCCCCCGCCTAAAAAAAGATTGTCTCGGGAACCTGGCGGACGCCTTCCTGCACTAATTTCTGGACCTGCCCTTACATTATGTCAGATGTCTTAAATTCGCCCCATTAATTCGATTTTCTCTTATTTCGATTTTCAACTGTCAATGGTTCTGTAACGTGCAATCCAAAGTGTACATTATACCTCGTATTTACTACCAATCCGAAGAACTAGATAATGCCTTTATTTGTCGGGCCTCCCTTCCTTGGCAAGGTGAAATCAGACTGGAAATTCCCTAGCTACTTTCTCGGCCCACCTCAGGGTCCAACCCGGAAACTCCCGTAGATGGCAGGACAAGTCAGTTGATACCTTACACTACAATAGTTAAATTCTGGCGGCTGTGCATTGGATGATTGGACTCCGGGCAATGGAACTTTTGTTTATTAGCTATGGTCATTGAAGAACTATGGACCAGGAACTGACCATGTTGTTGGATGAAATTCAAAAATCTAATTCATCAAATCGATGCCGAATTGTTCAAAGAAGAAGCATGCCAATTTTCATGTCGATCGGTCTTGCATGAAAGGAGAGAGTCAACCCAAGAACAGAAAAAAGATGAGTAGCGATCAGTTCCTGGTCCCAAAAAATGAGAGTGCTGGATATTGAACAGGCAATGCAAATAGATTTTTCTGAAACGTCAATTTTTAAATTGTTTTAGGGCTAGTTACCTGCTTTAGATTTTGTTCATGATAATGTAAAAGACCGGATAATCTCGCCAATGACCTAGTTATTCTCAAATGTTGACATCCCACCCAGACTAATATTCGTAGAATTGTCTGAATGACATTAGAAGTGGCGTATTGCATACCTGTGATAATAATAAAGTATGACAGTATGCCTGCTCATTAAAATTACATTATGCAAGAGCTAAATCTGCCTATTGCAAGCCTTTATTTAGGCCTCAGATGTTATAGAAATTATAAATTAGACCTTGATTTACATGACAAGCTCAAAATTAACTCTGTAGACCCTCGGATGGCTCGGATACAACTTGGATTTAAACAGTTGTCCATTTAAAATTAAATCAATAAATGGCGGACTAAGCTAACATTTACCGTTAGTCACTGACGTCACTACCGGAGACTGGTGATAAAAGGCCTGCCAAGCGAGGGTACCATAGCCGTTGAGAATGTTACTTGATAATCGAAAATATGTGGGTGGGGTTATCGTCTGTCAATCAAAGGATCGGCAATTCTCGTAGACGGCGCAGACACATTTGATGTCTATTTCTAGTCCAAAATTCCAACAGTGACAACTCCGTTGAGAATAAAGTAAATTGACTGAAATTTTCAATATTTTCCCTTTTTATCATTTATTTTTGAATTCTTATAACAAAAATAACTCTGTATCAAACTCTTAACTACTGTATCTTTAATTTCAGTGATTATATTATTTCGTGCACATCTTTTTTTAGCGAATGTTATGTTTTCACTAAAAAATAAACTGTAATCTTCCCGTAACTGTTTAATACACGTGTGAAACAAATGGACGTCTAATATATAAATAGTTGTCCCTCTCTGCCTTATAACAAAATAAAGACGAAATCAACACCACCATACCGGACAATAAAACCGAATGGGAGGAAGAATGGGTCAGGCCATACACTCAACAACAAGCCCCAATAAAGAGTTGCGCCGCCCTGCCATTCAACCGGACAAATCGACCAGACCGACGAAAACGACCTAAAGATATATATATATGAACATACTATGTCACTATGTATAAACATAGGCGTAGGAGCTCAAAGTAATTCAGGGGGGGCATAAGAGAAAATTGCCCGAAATCAATACCGTTTTTTCGGGCATACATATCATAAGAGAGCTTCGGGCATATTTTCGGGCATGCAGTGGACAAGAAAAAGACGAGAAAATAGATCGAGCTATTTCACACACTCTATCTTACTATATTTATGTAGAATGTATTTTAGTGTGATCAATACCGACTGTATATAAAACATGAACTTATAGTAAATCAATCGTAGATATCTTTATGTCTGACAATCCGCTAAATGTAGAGAAGATTGTTTTTGTCTGGTCCGGTTTGATGTTATTGTACTGAGTAACCTTATACTAGATTCAGTGGTGTACAGAGGGTAGGCGACGGCACCGGTCATCTATATCATATTTACTTACTATATCATTAGAATAAAAAAATTACAGATTCCGCGGCCTGCAGAGTAGGCGACGGCATGGGTCATCTATTTCCGGGGGGGGGGGGCATCCAATCTAAAAGTGAGATTAAAGGGGCATTTTGTGACATTAGATAAAGAGTTGACAGTTCTCGCTATAATAGCTAAAAAAACCCAGATAACGTAAATAGATTATGCTGACAATTTAAGTCAAATTGCTCCAATCTGAACCGAGATATTGACTTTTGAATTTTAGACCAGCCTCGATCATCATTATTAAAGTCGGTACGATAAAAAACAGAAGTCTAGGGTGGATGGCCGAATGGTTAGCGCCTGCGCGTTGTATCATAAGGTCTGTCATTGAGTCAACTGGCGTGGTTTCGATTTCCCGGTTGTACGTGACAAGGGGAAGGGTCGCTTGTCCAAACTTCGTGGGTTTTCTCCCACTGCTAAAGTCCCCTACGCGCAAATGAATCATTGAAATAAAATTGCACCATATGTTAATCCCGAAATAACCTAATTTGTGTCGAGTGGATGTTAAACTCTCTTTTAAAAACTTCTGTGCATTTACAATTTTTAGCATATTCCCTTTAACCTATCTAGTGTTCATCCCATAAGGGGAGTTACTGTCCATCCTCCCCGAGGACGATATCGGGGGTCCATGAAGAAGGAGTGGGCGGAGAATGGTCCTGTTAGTATGATATATAGGCTTGCGAGGGGGAGGGTCCCTGAAAAAGCGACCTGTGGGTATGGCATATAGGCTCTGGGGTCTCAAAGGAAGTTGATGTTCTCACGTAGTTAGGAATGTCCTATTTTAGACAGTTCTTTTGGGTGCTCCGTTTTTAGTTTGGCAGCCCTCTCTACTCTTGAAGTTACGCCGTTTTTTTTTATTTGTGCATTTGGTCGATACCCCAGGATATTTTCTAGAAAGCACCATTTGCAGTCAGTTTATATATACAAAAATTATCTCGCGCCCAGTGAGAGAAAACCGTCCTGGGTTGCACAATCCGCCAGAACGGCCAATCGTTAAATCCAACGTAGACCGACTAACATTTGTTGGTGTCTAACAAGATTAATGATTTATACCGTTTTTAAATTTCCCGCAAACGACCGACATTTGTTCAAAAGAGACTGACGTTGATGTCACATGATTGACTCAAACATCGCGTGATCAGAAAATGGCGAAAGTCCACATGGGCGCAGCCATGTCTGTACCACGTGATCGTTAGCGGACTGATTGGTTGTCCGTATGAAATGTTTCGCTCTTTGTTGAAATTCCACGCAAACGAGACCAACACGAACGATGTTATTGATCTCGCGAACAAATGTTCGTATTGAAATCCAACAAACACCGACTAACTTTTGTCGGATAACATCGTTCGGCCAACAAATGTTTGCCAGTCTGCGCTGGGCTTAAGATCAGCGTATGGCAGGAATGGGAAGACGAAAGGGGTCATTCGGATCCCCTATAATAGTTAAAGGTACAGTCGCCCCTTTTGACCCTATGCGCAAGGGAATTACTGGAATAAAATGGCACCATATGTTTCATCAAAATCAGATGAAAATTGTGACCACTAGAGAGTCCACAAGCTAAAAACGCAAGCTAAAAACGCGAGTTTTCGTACAATCAGGGGCCATAATCCATAAAGTTATGGTCCGATATATGCCAATATCGAAAGAAGCCGAAATCTTTGGGAGATAGACCTATATTTTAAAATTCGTGACCTGTAGAGTGTCCACAAACAAACTGTGGACGGACGGACGGATGTCCGGGCGGACAGGGGCGACGACAATATACGCCCACATGGAAATATGGGCGTATAAAAACATTGTCATTTTATCAATTAATTCATTTTATTTATACATAAAAACACACAATATTTTGCTTGTAATTGTTTACCGCACTGTGTTGACCTCAATCAATGAAGCGACTGCGACACTAGGTGTCTCGCTACAGGCCTCTAGATTGTGGCAAATCCATTTTGAGGCGGAAGTAGAACACAGTTAGTTACAAGGCTGGTTACTATGATATTCACTGCGGATGTTGCATGTTTAGTCGTATTCTGCTTCAAAGTTTTGAGTCTCAAAATGTTCTTGGTCAAGTCCATACAAGCTTTGAGAAATATATTGCAAGATGTTGGCCTATCTGTTGTAGAAAGAGTTCCATTCCTCACGTATCAGGGTTGAACCTGGTACCTCCCAATCTTTGAGAAATATATTGCAAAATATTGGCCCACCTGTGGTCTAAAGCGTTCCATTACTCATGTATCAGGATCGAACCTGGTACCTCCCAATCATTGAGCCAGCGCAATAACTCCTGTAAAAGTGAGACAATCATAAGATGTATTAATATTTTTGAAATTAAAAATGAATCTTTTGAAAATTACAATATTGTGAAAATTTGATCGCTAAAAGGGATTATATCGGTGAATAATGGATCAAATCGTTCAGTATTTACAAAAATATGAAGAAGGGCGATCGACGTCGGAAAATCCATATGAACTTTCTCGGCCAACACCGGGACCGAACACGCGACCTCCCGGTTAGCGAGCCAACGTCTTACTCACCGAACCACCGTGGCTCCTGAAAAGTCAATCGATCTATGCTGTTCCCTATGTAACAAGCCCACCGCCATTTTGATTTGCCGTGATCCAAATTGATGGGTCTGTTTTAAATCCGATTGAATCCAAGCCGGGAGATTATCTATATTAGCATTGATGTTTCGATTTTGTTTTCTAAATGTTAAATCGATTCCCCGGTTGTACGTTACAAGGAGTAGGATCGCCTGTCTAGCCTCGTGGGTTTTCTCCGGGTCCTCTGGTCCTCCGGGTCCTCCCACTGCTAAAGACCCCTGCGCACAAGCGAATGATAGAAATAAAATTGAACCATATGTTAGTCACGAAATGTCCTAGTTTGTGTCCAGAGGAGGTTAAACTCGCTCTCTCTCTCTCCACTGCCCCCCCCCCTCTCTCTCTCAAAATGTTACGTCTTGTTACTTTAAATAAGACCTTATATATCTGAGCGATTATCAATAAAATCAGATATATTCCTTTATCATTAAACACAAGTGTTATACAGCAAGTAGATAGTGAGTGATAGGTCCATACGAAAACATCAAAGCTTGTTGGTATAATGAAACTCCACATACACCCGGCCCCGAGTTCACAAAACATTCCTCAGACTTAACTCAACTTTCAGTCACTGCTTATGAGAAATATCTTTGATCCAGAAACACAAAACTTTGCCCATAGTTTCTTAATGATGTATTTGATACATTAAAACAACCAATGTTTTATAAAGGGATATTTTAGTTAAAATAAGGTGAACCATTTTGAGTAAATTCTTAACTTAAAGTAGCTAAATCATTATCATTCAAAGTTTCGACATTGAAAACACGAACTTTGTCAATTCAAATCAACATTGATGTTGGGATCTTACCGAGAAAAGACAAAATTAGACAAAATATCGTGTAAAATAATGCGTTTCAGCGTCATTTGTAACAAGGGACTCGAATAACGGGGCTAGACATATTCCACAAGTCATGCCAAACGGCGACGCAATATTCTTATCTGCAGAGCATGCGCAATAAATACTATCGGTATAGACGCTAGAGATTGCCATTCGATTGGCACTTCTGGCATATTTCGCCGAACATAATTGATTTGAAATTAGAGTAAGAACGGAAATGATTGAATGTAAATCAATTTATATATATAATGTACATTCATATTACATTATTGTATGCGTAGCGACCCATTTGTGTTAATTTCTAGGTCCCAAATATTAGCCTTTAAGTCTGAAAATGCTTTGTGAACTCGAGGCCAGAATGGTCTAAAGAGAAAATAAACTATAATATATCAAGTTTGCCCGGGTATTGGGAGAGGTGGGGGGTGAAGGTTGTCCGGGCAGTGGTAGGGGACTGGGGGGGGGATGTTTACCCGGGCAATGGCAGGGGAGGTGGTGAAGTTTACTCGGGCAGGACAGTGGTATGGGAGTGGGGGGGGGGGTGCCCGGACAGTAGCAGAAGGAGGGGGTGAGGTTTGCCCGGGCAGTGGCAGGGGGTGGATATGAAGTTTGCCAGGGTAGTGGCATTCCGTTTCAATTTCAGACTACTCTTCATCGACATTACGACACAGTCCTAATTTAAATGTGTTTAAATTTTCTAATATAAAATTTACTTTTAATAATGAGAACTCATGAGACGATAAGTGTTATCATATCCTACCTGGTGCATGACATCCACCAGTGTTTATCAGTAACAGGATCCATTAATTAAAACATAAATTAATATATTGGTCGAGGGTTAAAATTCTAGTACACATTTTAGTTCGTGGCGACTTTGTTAGAATTTTGAAGTTTTTAAGTTTTCACAGCTATTTGATATTTGAGAATGGGGGGGGGTGTCCGAATGGTTAGCACGTGCGCGCTGTATTATAAGGCCTGTCATTGAGTCAACTGGCGTGGTTTCGAATCCCCGGTTGTACGTGACAAGGAGTAGGGTCGCCTGTCTAACCTCGTGGGTTTTCTTCGGGTCCTGCGGTTTCCTCCCACTGCTAAAGACCCCTACGCGCAAGCGAATTATTGAAATAAAATTTAACCATGTGTTAGTCCCGAAATGACCTGGTTTGGGTCGAGTGGACGTTAAACCCCATTTCTCTCTCTCTCTATTTGAGAATAAAACTTGTTTAATGTGGATATATATTGACTGTCTTCTAGCCCGTTTAAACTGGTACATCAAAATGAAATGATATGTGTTTTAACGTTTGTAAATTGATAGATTAATGATATGTATGTTTATCACACGGGGAGTATATGACACGTTATTTATGATAAATAGTTACGAAACGTTAACAACATACATTGACTCGACACGCCCATTATCTAACGCTATGATTTATCAACCCGATTAGCCCAGAGATAATAGCGTGCTAAAAACTGTATATAACAGTAAATAAGGCGGTATTTGTGTGTTTGAGAGAGAGAGAGAGAGAGAGAGAGAGAGATGGAGGGGGTGAGGGGGGTTGTTAACGTCCACTCAACACAAATGCGCGTAGGGGGTCTTTAACAGTGGGAGGAAACCGGATGACTTGCAGTAAACCTATGAGGTTGGGCAGGCTTTTCATGTCATGAACACGTGTGGGATAGAAATCACGCCATCTGACTTAATGACAGACCTTATGATCTAAAGCGTAAGCGTTAGATCCCCCACGTTGTTTATATCAGTAAATACGTCGGTACACCTATGTTTAATTATTGCCGTGTTCAAGTTGTTTAAATTACATAGATAGATAGACTAACGCCGTCATACATATATAGATATGGTTGCATCAATTAGCTTAGAGTCGCCTTGACAACCAAAAACAAATGGCCAAACAAACTGAAAAACGATATATGATCGGAATGATACGATATTCATTCTCTATTGCTTGTCGTCGATGAGAGAGCACAACGGACAATTTTCTTTAATTTTTGGATCAATTACTTTACGTCCAATTACCATCTCAGTGCATCGTAGACATGGGTTGTTCCGGAAGTAAGAGCACAGAGACCGCAGCTGCTGGAGATAGGAAGCCAGAAACGAAGCCTGAAACTAATCACGAACAGGAAACAGACGCATCAGGAAAAACAGACGCAACAGAAACAACGGACGCCCATAAAACAATTGACGCACCAGAGGAACCAGTAACGCCAGTTCAAAATAACGCCGAGGAGCAAACAGGTAGATGTTGTATTTTATATAAACATGTTGTAATAAAATCTAGTCGCTACAGAGCACTAGGACATTAGAACTAATTCATTGCATTAACGTAAATAAAACGCAAATATGAGAAAGTAAAATCCAGACATTTATAAAAGTAAAAAAAAAGCAAATATCAGAAAATATTGTTTAAATTTACATACTGATTACCTCATAGATAAAATAATTTATTGAGCATAATTTCATATGAATACAATTGTTCATGTTGGCGCACAAATTTTTAAAAAAATCGAGGCATTGCTATCCATATACCCATCCCCCACCCACCCGTCCCTGGAAATTTTAATGTCGATTATATTTGTAACTTTTTGCACTTCATGCATTTTTGAATGCAAATTCGTTTCAGCAAAAATATGTTCAGAAAATTTCTGGTAATAGTGAAATTGACGTGTTGATATTTCATGTCGGTGCACAAAATTTTAAAAAGTAGCATTTTTTAAAAGATAGACATTGTTTTAGATTTTGTTTTTTTCCCCCGCGTAAGTCGAACGGTTCGGTTGAGTAAACACACGCTCAAATTAGCGTTAGGGTTAGGATCTTTCGCCCTTTATGTCCCTAATAAAGCCTCTACGGTGCTAAAAGGATTTATGACAAAGATGATTCTTCCTTTCAATAGATCTCTTCGTTGTAATGATATAGACTGACAACCCAGAGAGAGAAATGGGGTTTAACGTCCACTCGACACAAACTAGGACATTTCGGGACCAGCATATGGTTCAATTTTATTTCAATAATTCACTTGCGCGTAGGTGTCTTTAGCAGTGGGGGGGAAACAGGAGGACCCGGAGAAATCAATTACAGACCGTATGATGCAACGCGCACGCGCTAACCGTTCGGCCATCCAACCCCTCTTTGGGACACAAAGGTAAAAACGGGTTGCTGTTTACTTGCTTTCGTTATAAATATCCCCTTCTAGTTAAAACGTTTCTCTTTTTATAGGTCGAATTATTTCGTATCCCCTTTAAGGTGGTAATGAAATACAATCGGGTGAATATATATGAGACTATTTATTGCAATATTGTATCTCACCAGGTGAATATGTTATTACCCAGTATTATACAGGTATGTTACGTATCACGTGTACAGACCTACATATAATTACTATACATTATATTAGAATACTTAATAATTAATACAGGTATTTAACACTGGCGTTGTGTGGGGTAATATTTGTTTGATTCGTTAAAGTAGCTAAGTCTCTAACTCAATATCATCAAAAATCTTCGACATTGAAAACACGAATTATTTGTCAATTCAAATCAACATTGGTCTTGTGATCTTACAGGGAAAGGATGGGCTTCTGATATCCAATATTCAAGACAAAATAAACATTTTGTCTTTGGTACACGAATCGTGTACCATAATGCGTTTCAGTGCCATTTGGAACAAGGGACTCAAGATCGAGGCTAGACATATTCCACAAGATATGTCAAATGGTGACGCTATATTCTTATCTGGAGAGCATGCGCAATAAATACCATCGGTTTAGACTGGAATAACCAGACGCTAAAGATTGTCTTCAATTGAGGCTTCTGGCGTATTTCGCCGAACATAACTGATTAGAAATTACAGTAAAAACAGAAACGATTGAATGTAAATCAGTTTATATACATTCATATTACATTATTATATGCGTTGCGAGCCATTTGTGTCAATTTCTAGATCCCAAATATTAGCGATTTAGCTCCTTTAAGCTTGCATGGGGCCACTTGCTGGAAAAAGACCGGGGTCCTATTTGCAACAACACTGGCGTTGTGTGGGGTAATGTTTGTTTGATTCTTTTAGTAATTAGTTTCTAAGCACCTGTACATATTATTCTTTAAAACTGCGATATCACTGTCGGTGGAAGCGGGCGCGGGTCCTTAGTTTAGTAGTTTAATTGTTTCAATGGCATTTAGTAATGGAACTGTTATTAGCATTACGGTAATCTACCTTGAACTCTTTCACAATATTATATTAAAGCGGAAATTGCAAATTTTAAAGTTATATTTTTAAAATTTATTAAAATAAAGCCTGAAAATAGATGGTATCCATAAACAGTCCTACCTTGTTAAAGAATAATCCTATTAATCCTATAATTCACTATTGCCAGCTGAGAAATTGGCAAAAATATCATTTTCCTCTTCATTTTCAAACGTTTGAAAAAAGCTACTCCATGGTGGAGAATAGAAAACAAGGGAGGTAATTGTGTTATTATTTCCTGTGTAAATGAGTTTTAAGTGTGAGAATAACACCTATGATCGTATAATTGTGAGTTCATAACCTATTGAGCAAAAGACATAGTAATAATTACGTTTTGACTTTCTTAGAAAATTTGCAATTTCCGCTTTAAGTTAGTGTCATTTAAAGGAAATTAGAAGGGTGTAATAACAAATGAAATGAAATGGGGTTTAACGTCCTACTGTTCTGCTCCGAATAGGGCTAATGAAGACGGGCATACGCAATACAGTGTGCTATGAGGGAAATTTGGCCCGGACAGCGGTACTACGGCCTGCTCTTATATCGAATTCAAAATGTCAAGGGATCTCTTACGTGCACGCTCACGCTAATGCCACCCGAACGACTAGACAGCTGTCCTTGTCAGGCCCTCCGTCCTGCACTACTGACAAGGGGGAACCACGCCGGGAAATCTGGATGAACTTTCTCGGCTAAAGAAGGGATCGAACACCCGACCTACAGGCTAGCGAGCCAGCGTCTTAACCACTTAGCCAAAGTGACCCCACCAACACCCCGGTATTAAAAAAGTTTCTTATATGTATATATTGTATCGATCTATTTTATCATTGCTTAGTAGTATACATATTAGTATAATTTTTTTCGTTAAAAACATAATTAAGGTATTACGATTACACTTCCTTGAGATCAAATGACGTCAATCTTATTGTATTTTACTCTAGATATTTTCTGGTCTACTGCACAAAATTTATTACCGATACCTTATAACAAATTTAATTTTTATGATATCTTATTTTTTAATTTTTATGATATTTTTTTTTGAATCTTTGGATATTTTATTTTTGAATTTTTATGATATTTTTTAAATATTTAACTTTCGACATCCGACCTCCGAAATCCACTGCTCAGTGAGTAAGACCTAGCATGGACAGGTGTATAGTTTTTTGGATGGAAAAAAACGAAAGCCTTCACACAAATGATCCCCTGGCAGCTGGAATTCGATAATAAAAAATTAGGCGTAAACGCGCAAAATTCACTTCACTGTATGGCGTATACACGTCTTGGTTAGCTCAGTCGGTGCATAAAAATAGGATGACGAGTACAATTTCAAATTGTAATCAAACAATTTCATGTAGTAATCAAACAATTTCAAACAATTCCATATTGTAATATTTCATATTGTAATCAAACAATTTCATATTTATTCAAATAATTTCATATTGTAATCAAACATTTTCATATTGTAAGCAAACAATTTCATATTGTAATCAAACGTTTTCATATTGTAATCAAACAATTTCATATTGTAATCAAACAATTTCATATTGTAATCAAACAATTTCATATTGTAATCAAACAGTTTCATATTGTAACCAAACAATTTCATATTGTGATCAAACAATTTCATACTGTAATCAAATAATTTCAACTTGTATTCAAACAATTTCCTTTTGTAATCAAACAATTTCATATTGTAATCAAACAATTTCAACTTGTATTCAAACAAGATCAACTTGTATTCAAACAATTTCATATTGTAATCAAACATTTTCATATTGTAATCAAACATTTTCATATTGTAATCAAACAATGTCATATTGTAATCAAACAATATTAAATTGTATTCAAACAATTTCAAATTGTATTCAAACAATTTCAAATTGCATTCAAACAATTTCAAATTGTATTCAAACAATTTCAAATTGTATTCAAACAATTTCAAATTGTATTCAAACAATTTCAAATTGTATTCAAACAATATCATATTGTATTCAAACAAATGAGGGGGGTTGGATGGCTGAATGGTTAGCGTGCGGGTGCTGTATAATAAAGTCCGTTATTGAGTCGACTGGCGTGGTTTCGAATCCCCGGATGTACGTGACAAGGAGTAGGGTCGCCTGTCCAACCTCGTGGTCTTTCTCCGGGTCCTCCGGTTTCCTCCCACTGCTAAAGACCCCTATGCGCAAGCGAATTATTGAAATAAAATTAAACCATATGTTAGTCCCGAAATGACCTAGTTGTGTCGATTGGACGTTAAACCCCATTACTATCTCTCTCTCTCTTAACTCAAACAAATGAAATGAAATGGGATTGAATATTATTACGGCCCTCGATGTATTGAAAAAAACTAAGAGGTATATGTGAGAAAGGAGACGTATTATAGAAGCTACTGAAGGGCGTTTATGAGGGCAAACATCAATAAAATCTTACATGTCGCCTTTAGAGAGTCAAGTTGATTTGTAGCTAATTTAGTCGATAACATAATCTCAAGTTATATTAGTTTAGTGACATATAATCCTTGTGTGGCATTTAGCGGCGGGGTAGGGGTTCTAATGGTTGAACGCGTGAGTCAAGTGATGTGGTTTTAATTCCTCGCTTGTGCGTGACAAGGAGTTGGATTGCCTGTCCAACCTCGTGGGTTCTCTCCGGGTACTCCTACTGCTAAAGACCATTTCGCGGAAGCGAATTATTGAAATAGAATTTAACCATATGTTAGTTCCGAAATGACCTAGTTTGTGTGGAGTGGACCTCTCGCTCTGTCTGTCTGTCTGTCTCTCTCTCTCAAGCGAATTATTGAAATAAAATTGAACCATATGTTAGTCCTGAAATGACCTTGTTTGAGTCGAGTAGACCTTACCCCCCCCCCCCCTCTCTCTCTCTCCTTCTCTCAGTACAACTACCGGCACTTAGGATCTACACGTTAGAACACTCGACAACCTAACCACTACCAATGACAACCTAACCACTACAATTGACAAGGCCTCTTATGTTATTTGAAGTATTTG